TTCTGAGATGGAGTTTCGCTCTTGTTGCCCAGGCTGGTGCAGTGGCACAACCTTGGCTCACTGCAACCTCTGCCTCCTCGGTTCAAATGATTCTCCTGCTTCAGCCTCCTGAGTAGCTGGGATTACAGGTGCCCACCACCATGCCCAGCGAATTTTTTGTATTTTTAGTAAAGATGAGATTTCACCATGTTGGCCAGGCTGGTCTCGAACTTCTGACCTCAGGTGATCCACCTGCTTCAGTCTCCCAAAGTGCTGGTATTATAGGCATGAGCCACCGCGCCTGGCTGACAAATATATTTCTTCTTCCATCCTTTTTATTTTTCTAATACTTTAAAAACTGTACTTGTTCCTCTGTTATTTGATTTACTGATTTTGTCTTTTGACCTTACTATGGAAGATGAGGAAGATGAGAAAATCTACATACTTAATGCTGCTCCCACATTTCTCCCTCTTCTCTTCCAACATTTCTTATTTATTCATTCACTTTTTTAAATGAAGAAAAGGAAACTTAAACTGTATCCAGTAATTATAAAAATGACCAAAAACATCCTTTAGGTTCATTTTCAGTTCCACGGATGAAACCGACTCTTGGAATTTGGTGAGGTTAGAGTAATTGTAAGAGACTGGTGAGAGAACAGGGAAAATCCTGTTCGGTGGACATGGGAAGTGGTGCCTGTTGGCAGGCTTTGGGTTTGGATTTGGACTGTTATTTGGACTGTTATACTTGTCATCTACCCCACTTTAAATGTTGATTTGTGATTTTTCATGACTATTCTTGGTTTGACTCTTCTAATCTTAAAATTTTAGACAGTAATGTGAAGGGTAGTATTATTTTCTGAGCTGCAGTAGCAAGTGGCAGGGAATTCATTTGGAACCAGTATCAAGCTGAGGGCCACACCGGATCCTCAGATGTTACCAGCCCCTCCCCTTCCCTTCATGCCTTTCTATTTCTATGTCTAGATGTGTCTTTTATTCTTCTCTTCAGGTCTACCAGTTGCTGGGCAAACCTCAGAATTTGTTAACCAAGTATTAGAGAAGACTGCAGAAGGGAATCCCACTGGAGGCCTTGTAGGATTAAGGATACCAACATCAAAGGTGTAATCAGCCTCATTGGACCACTGGTCAGAAATGTCTGCGTTTTGTCACGTTATCCATTGTAAATTTTCATTCTGTTTTGCATGTCAGTTAGCATTATGTAAACATTTACAATTAGGTTACATTGTTTTAAGAACTAAGTAGCATAAGTGAAGCATGATCCAAAATACTTGATTATTGTATTTTCAGAGCATAAACCATGATTAAAACTACAATTGGCATCAGAATTGAAAATCATATGTTTAAGTAAATGTTTAGGTACAGATTACAAAAATCTGTTAAAGAAAAACATTTTGGAGGTGTGAAATAGTAAAATGCCAAGTATTGTGGTAGATTTATGCTCTGAACCACACAAAAAAATTGAGGAAGCATTTTTTTAAACAGTTGGTTAAAATTGTTTTTAGAATTATTGCTTTTTGTTCTAATTTTCCACAACCATTAATCTCACTTGTACATGGCACACCCAGCACTTGTGCCTGTGGGCCATATTAGATGTTCATTGTCAGAGTTCAAGATGATATATATAAATATATATATATACACACATGCACACACACACACACACACACACACAAATGTCTGTGCAAGTAAGAAAAAAAAGCATATTCTTTGTGCCTTGTATTTTGGGGAAACTATAAAACTGGTAATATTTTGTATGATGAAAACCCTAATGAGAAAAAACAAGATATATAGATGGAAAAATTATGGGGTTTAAATGTTTTTTTGTTCCAACTCTTTTTCAGATTTTTTGAATGTATATAGGACTATGTTGAAATGTAGATATATGCCACAGAGTCTGTGTATTGTATAAAAAACAAAACAAAAAAATAACAAAAAAAAGATGGCTCTAGAAAACTCATATTTCGGTACTTGACCGGAAGAAGACAAATACTTGCACATTATTGCGATTGTTTTATTTTTTGTACCAAAGACAAATGCAACTGATATGGCAAACTGCCAGTCTAAGTAAAGTTTTGCACAGCTTACATGATACTGTATGAATGTATGAAAAAAAGGAGAAAAAAAAGAAAAAAAAAAGGTCAGGGTTAGGGATCTTACTGAACTGTGAATTTTATTTCTGTTGGGTCCAATTATCTACAGAAGGAGCATCCATACATACAAATATTATTTTGCTGTTCCTCTAGTTCGCTTCCATAGTAGATAGTTGGTGGCCATTTAGATGTCTTTTATTTCTGCACTTATTGTAGGAAATTTTAATATATTTCATTTTAGTAAGCTATTGGTAAAATAGTTTTTGACTTTGAAAATTAAAATGTTTATTTAGCTTATTGTAGTATACTTCCACCAAACAACAAAATAGATTATTTTTATTGTATTATGTATATATATGTATGTAAAAAAGAAAAAAGCTAAAAACACCTAATTCTTTAGTTGCCACTTTTCCGAAAATTGATGTATTATTGTGCATGTAATATTTTCAAAGATCAACACAGGCTTAAAACAAAAACAAAAATTTATAGATTTTTATATTTTTGTACAGGTATTTTCAAACTAGCTTCTTCAAACTTAACATGTGACCTATTCTTCTATAGTTTCTAGAATTGAGAAACATTAACACATTTAGTTTTTAGGTGCTCTTTTTTGCTCATATAAAACAGCTTCGTTAGTCAGTGTTTTAACTGTGTTCAAGCTTTACCTCTTGAGAAATTTATTATGTCAAGGCAGCATTATAAACCTTCCCCCACAGATCTTTCCATCCTGTCTCTCTTACTGTTTTATTCTCAAATCTTGTGTTTTGAACTCTGAAAACTGGTGGCTTAAAAACTAAAAAAAAGAAAAAAAAACATTTAGTAAGGAAAAAAATAACCAAAAATTTCAGGCATAGCTGCTGGAAAAATTACCTATTTCTCCATTACCCGCTGTGGGATTTATTTCTTAATTATGCTTTGACTATAAAGTGTCAAAGTATAATTTGTTCTTTTTTTTACTTCTGACACCCCATTTGTAAGCTATAGCACATGAAGCTATAGCTTGTGAAGGTTTGATCTAGAACACACAGTAAAAGTGAACAATGTTGCTTACCTGCTTCTTTGACATCTTAAAAAAGAAACCCAAGAAGGATTGTAAGGATTTTCTTACCACCTTAGCTGAACTGTGATGCACAAGATTTTTCTATGTGTTTGGTGGAAATGTACCTGGTTAGTACATTCACGCTAAACAGATGATAAGCTCAAGTCTAATGGTTTAATAGAATGTAAGTTCATTGTTTAAAGTTTTTCCTTTTTAGGTGGGAGAAGGCAGAGCACAGACAGGCTTGCAAGTTGGAAGTATATGAAGTCTTGACAGAGTGTGTCTGGTAAATTGAAAAGTGTTTCAAACTGTGGCAGTTTTGCAATCAGGTGAAAATTGCCTCATGATATTCAGCTGATAAGGTTTATAAAATTGCCCCTTTCTAGCTGCTCTGTTAGGAATTCTGGTTTTTGATACCTTTTTCCTGTCTGCAAACCAGAATTTGATTTTTTGGTCTTGCATTTCAAAAAAAAGACTTTGAATCTGTTTAGTAGATTCCATATCCTTGAGTTTCAGTGTTTTATATGTACTACTTAAGTTAAATAGTTAAAAGCTTTTAAATAGTTGAGCTTTTTAATGTTGACACTTTATTTTGTACCTATTTATATATGTATGTATATCTTAGAAAAGCACTTTGTTAAAAAAAATTGCATTTTATATGATTCCTGCCATTTGCTGCTAAATCTGGGCTGGTCAGAATGCTGCAGCGATACTTGATCTAAATAAAAACCTGGCAGTAAAATGTAGAGTGAAAGTTAAATCCTCTTGCTGTTTTAACTTTATCATAAAGATGACATAGGCAAGCTGTGCAGCTTTACATTTTAACCAGGGGACTCTGTGGCATTTAAAACCGTCTAGAAATGGTTGTACTTTAATGCCAGTAATAATCTGCTTCCTCTATTGTCATTAAAATATATATGTTTAGTGTATCACACAAACAAATCTTATAAGGGTAATGTAAAAACCCCAACAGTTGTACATGTTCTGTTTTTGAAAATTGTGGCATGTATTTTTGAGTGAAGATCATTAGAGAAGAGTTCTCTAAAGGTTTTCTGTGTTCATACATGGTATACAGATAGCTCATAATGAAGTCCAGAATCTTACTTTAAGTGAAGGCATTGTGAATTCACCTCAAGTAAACCCATTGTTCCAAAGCAATTATAAACTTTGACTCTAGTACTACTATGATTTTTTTAAAAAAAACCAATGGAAACTTTTTTTCCTAGTTTCAGATACACTGGATTCTTTATAGAGTTTGTCTCCATATGAAAGCATGCTGTCCAGTCGCTCTTGTTAAGATCTTGTCTGAGTTTTGAATTGGGTGCCACACTTTTTCAGTCAATATAATTGCTTGTTCTACTGTACCATGTATGATTCTTGTCCTTTCCTGTATCCTTCATGACAGATTATGATGTGGCTTTATATTGTGCCTTACTTGTACATTTAAAACTAAACGTCTTCATTCCCTTTCACTTCCTACATCTTTAACTTTGACCTTTTTGGTAAGAGAATCAGAACTATTACAAAAGCATCATGAAGGATTTCAGATGGGTATAGTTTCAAATTCCCTCTCTTTATAGTTATTTTATATTTGTATGAAAGACCAGTTTTGGATGGTCTTTGAATATGAGGGGGAAAGATTAGCAGTAATTTCACTACATCCCCTTTCTCTGACTTTCATGAATTTCTCATACATCTTCTTTCTGATGCTTGACTTTATTTGCTTCTTAGCAATAGTCTGCATTTAAAGAAAGGTGTGTTCAGTTCATCAGCTTGAAATTGACTATTTCATTTTTCCAGGATTTTTTAGGAGAAGAGTACCCATTTTGTTTGTTTTATAAAAACAGATGACAAGTCTCTTTAAAAGAAACAGAAGTACAGTACTTTTGAAATACAATGCTGTTAGTTTGAATTTCTTTTTATATATATAATATTCATACAATGATCTGATGTTTGCCTTCATTAATAAAGCTGTTAGTTTATTCACCAAAATGTCAAGAATGGATGTGCTTTTCTTTATTCCATACATTCAAAAAAATTTAGCTGCTAAGATTTAGTTAATGTTCTAAGAAATGAATTCAAGTTGCCTTCAGCAGGAATTAACAAAAACTTATGTTCCCTTTCTTTATATAGTTTCCTAAAATTCTGTTCAAGTGTTTTCTAGTTAATTATGTAACAGAATGTTAGCATCTCTCCATATCTTGAAACTTGAATTTTGAGAATGCATTGAATTATGCTTTCAGTGTTAAAGTAAAAGGTTTCAATTATCCTTCTAGTGAAGTCTGTTGTGGAATACCGTTTCCCATGGAACTGAGGCCATTTCCACAACTTTGCACAGAACTGCAGTCTTGTTCTTCCCTTGGATCATGACAAATAAGTCTCACACAGTGCCGTAATACTTGTGGATTCTTTTGTAATCTTTGTAATCTTAATAAGGGCATTATGCGAAGACGACTCCATGTTTTTTTAATATTTCAAACACATTGGGATGTAACAATGAATGTCAACTGTAGGAATGGTTGTTTCGTTTTAAGGAATAAGCATGTTGGGGAAAGATGATGAAAATGTACTACTGAAAGTTATACACTTCCATAGGCAAGTGGGATTATGTGTTGAAGCATGATCCTCACGCTTAATAAACTGACTGAAATTGTAGAAATTACACCTAGGAACTGAGCTAGGCCAAATTGCCATTTTTGTTTAGATAAGAGAGGTTTGGAGGTAGTAGTGAGGGAATAGAACCTCAAAGCTACTTCCAGACAGTATTTTGGAATTGAAGACTTGGTGACTAGTGAAGAACATCAAAGTTGGATATTTCAATGTGCCAAGTTTGGGTGAACTAGGTTCGGTTTGCCTCTTTCATAACAGTGTAAACACAATGGTGTAGTTAATTAAATTCTGGGTGGGTAGGAGCAGGACTGATTACTATGTCTTGCCCTTCGCCCTTTGTTTTTTTCAGAACCAAATAACAGAAATGTGTATGTGTGTACTGTATCTGCCTTTCCACCACATTTTTATGACACTGTATTCCACTGCCTGCTTTTTTACCTTCTTTCCCTAGGATTTGTCCTATAGCTTAGCATTGTGGTTGACAGCAATACTGGGGCTGACAGCACAGAAGTCACAAGAGAAGTGTGGAAGGGCAAGAATTCAAAGCATTTGTTCGCACAATGTGGCAACCTCTTTTGCATAGTTGCGTAGGATCCTGTTTGTAATGCTATCATAAATATTCTGTAGTTTTTTTTTTTCCCTCTCTCCCAGCTGGAGCTATGACACTTTTTATTGGATTCAGTCTTGTCTCTTGTCTAGAAAGAATTTTATCTTGTTGACGCATGAGCTGTTTAAAAATTATTCTATTAAATGTTGGTTAATAGTTGTGCAGTTTTTCATTTCAGAAGGAAAGGCAATGCAAATTTTGCCTTTGTTTTCTGTCACCTTCCAACCCCTGAGCACTTCTAGTCAGATACAGATTCATCAGTGTATGCAACATCCTTTGTAATTTAAAATAAAAAAATGAAAAGAAAAGGTTCTGAATTGTTTGCCTCATGTTTTCACCCTTCCTTTCTGTACTTGTATCTTGCTTACCTAGGTAACCGTCCACTTCTCAAGAGAACCTATTCTAAAGAAATTACAAATCACAGAGAGTAGTGAACTGCTGGTCGTGCTGCCCCTCTCATGGTAGTACTCAAAGAACTAACTGTTTTTTGACACTATAGGTTGAGTTTTCAATATTTTAGGGACATTTAGCTATTATATAGAATTATTTGCTGATATAAGCGTTTGCATTCTTCACAGTTTAGAGGATAGTTTATTCTTATTTCTCCTCTTTGAATCTTGGGGCAAGTGTTCTCCATGGGAAATAAAATATTTTGGGTCTCTCCTGATGTAAACATTTGTCTGTGTGTGTGTGTGTGTGTGTGTGTGTGTGTTTAATCATTGTAAGTCTCCAAGCTAAGCTGGGCGTATACACAGAACCTTAAGTCCAGAGACCTAAGTGAAAGCTACCATCAGAGTATGTGTTCTTTCAGCCAGCAAATATTTATTGAACACTCACTCTGCCAGGACCTGTACTAGGTACTGGGCAATAGAGAGATTAAAGAGAACTCCAGGAACCCACAGCCAGCACGTGAACAGGATTGCAGAACAACACAAGAGCTGTTACAGATATGCAAAGGTACATTATCAGATATGTACATTATACAGATATGCAATAGTACATATTACAGATATGCTCTAGGTACATTATCCTTGCCGAGGTGTTTTCAAGGAGACAGGTACCACATCCAGTGGCGTATATTAGAGAATCATAGACTTGTATTCCAAGTATCCTGGACCCTTGAAGAAATCCTCTTTGATTCATGTGACACTGGGGCCATCAGGAAGCAAAGGGGAGGGACATGGCCTCCCATGGACTGGTTCTGCATCAGGACTCGATCTGTCAAGACCACTGCTCACAGGAGCCTCTGTCAAGGTCTTGAGACTGTTAAAGGGCTGGGTGAGCCAGATCAGTATAGTTCTTAGGAAACTAAACCTTCTGTGGATAGCATCCAGTTAGATGGGTCATTCAACTGGTGAGCTCTTCAGCCACACAGTACAGTGGAGAATTTGAAAGAAAGAAGATGGCTGGGAAATGCTTTAATATCCCAGCTAAAAGGTTCAGAGCGGGAAGAAGGTGTTAAAAAGCCCTAGGGGGGCCAGGCGTGGTGGCTCATGCCTGTAATCCAAGCACTTCAGAGGCCACGGCGGGCGGATCACCTGAGGTTGGGAGTTCAAGACCAGCCTGACCAACATGGTGAAACCCCGTCTTTAAAAAAAAAAAAAAAAAGCCCTAGGGGATGGAGTGGCATTCCTTAAGACTCTGCTAGGTGCTTTTGTTATAGGAAACTCGGCTGGTGTCCTTAAGGGCCCAGTGAGGCTGGTAGTCATGTCCATTTTACAAAAGAGACTAGACTAATATGAGGAGACTAGTTCCAAACCTAGCTTATATGATTATAGAGCTCCAATTCAAACTCCAGTCGGCTTTCTGCACCAATTCGTATTCATCTCTTTGGGATCAGGCCAAGTCACAGGCAATATTTGGGACATTTCTGGAGGTGAGGGACAAAGGCCTTAGAATCTAAAAACCAAAAAGAATTAAAACCAAAACCTAGCAGATAAACAAAAGCTAGTCTCAGGATCTGTGGGTAGAGGTAATAGGGGAAGCAAAACAGAGTTGAGAGGAACCAGTGATTGGGTATAATGATCACTAGACTGCACACCTGTTCCTCGAGGATGGTCTCTAGCTTAAGGATTTAAGATTGGGTCTCCTTATTGGAAGGAAGAATATTGGAGGGTAGAGAAAAAGGGAGCTGTGTTTCCTTCTTTAGCTGCAGCATAGAGATGCAGCTGGGGACTGTTGATTGCATGCAAATATCCAACAAGAAGCATGATGTGAAAGAGTAGGCATGTGCGCAGGTCTGCCAACTGCTAGCTTTGGGGCTTCTCTGCTGTCCTAAATAGGGAGCTTCTATGTGAGTATCCAAAACATTGGAGTGACCTGAAGAAAGGAAACCTCAGTTTCTCTAAAAGGTTTTGACCTTATAAAGCAGGTGCTTAAAATATTACCAGGAATAAACTTAACAGAAAATGTATACAAGGTCTAGGATAAAGAAAACTTTAAAAGCTCTGTGAAGGACACAGAAGGAAACTTGAATACATTGGAAGATACACCAAGTTCTTAAACAGGAGCAGTGACATAAAACTCACAGTGCTAAGTTAAATTAAAAATATAATGTTGCTAAAAAATGTAATGTCATCCTAAGAAAACATACCAAGAGGGTTAAAAAAATTTTTTACACAGAGAAAACATAGCTGGAAGATGCTGGTTGGCAGTGAGGGCGAGGGGGCAGCCATGGAGGGTGGGGGCAAGAGGAAGAGGTATTTAATTCTAGCAGATATTAAAAGTCATTATAAAACTATAATAATTAAAACTGTCATTTTGATGCATGAATAGACAGGCCAGTCAAGGAGAATAGAAGATCTAAAAATAGACTCAAATACGTAAGACAATTTTGTATGGCAAATGGGACGTCCAGAACCAGTGAGGAAGAAGGTAGACTCTTCAGTAAATAGTATCGTAATAACTGAGTAACCTCCGGAAAAAGTAAAATTGGCTTAATATCTCACAACATAAGCCAACATGTATTTCAAAATAGATAATGATCTAAGTGTAAAAAAACCTCACAAAAGACCCATAAATCTCTGTAAGTGGGGAAGGCTTCTCTAACTTGGACCCCGAATCCAGGAATCATGAATAAAGATTGATAAATTCAGTGTAAAACAAGATTAACAAAATATTAAAGACTAAAACACCAGAAGCCAAATCAAAATTCTATAGACTTTTAAAGTCTATAGAAGTCTTAAAAAAAAAATTAGAAAAGCTGTGAAACTCATCTCTAAGGACTAATCCTCCTAATATATAGAGTTCCTGGAAATGGATATTAAAAAAAACCAGCAACCCCACAGAACAATGAGTGGACAATAGAGTACAAATAGCTCTGAAACATAGGTAGAGTTCCTCAACCTCTTTCATGATCAGAGAAGTGCAAATAAAAGAAGACATTTTCACCTAATCAGATTGGCAAAAGTTCCAATTTTGTTAACCTATCCTGTTGACAAGGCTATGGAGAACGCACATTTATGCCGTGTTGCTGGAGGGAGTTTGGATTGACAATCCCTATGAAGAGCAATTTGGTAGTACGTAAGAATTGTTTTTTTCAGACATAATTTGTCAGCCTTTATTAATCAAGAGTAAAGCCGAGCCCTAGAGTTTCCTTAACCAACACAAGAAGAACATCAACCTTATTTATGGCAAACAGACTTAATTCTTAATGACTGTTCATTATATTTTTCACACCATAGAGCAAGAATTGATCTCTTTTCAATCACCAATCACTTATTCTGAGATTAAAATACAAGTTTAAAACTGGTTAAAATAAAATTCACCCCAATAATTTAAAAAATAATTCCAATTGAAAGACATTTCAAACACTATATGTAGAACTCAGGACCAAAAGAAGACCTTAAAACATTTTTTACCATTGAGGTAGCACACTAACGCTGAATCAGATTTCTTTCATTACAGTGAGCTTTAAAAAAACATGGAATCTACCCTTTGCTCAAGGTGGACTAAATGGTTTTATGAAAGCCCCCATGAGGTTAGTGACTNGATGATCTCTATCTCTTGACCTCGTGATCCGCCTGCCTCAGCCTCCCAAAGTGTTGGGATTACAAGTGTGAGCCACCATATCTGGCCTCTACGTTTTTTAGACAGAGTCTCACTCTATTGACCAGGCTGGAATGCAGCTGTGCAATCTTGGTTCACTGTAACCTCTGCCTCCTGGGTTCAAGTGATTCTCTGCCTCAACCTCCCAAGTAGCTGGGATTACAGGTGCCTGCCACCACGCCCAGCTATTTTTTATATTTTTAGTAGAGACGTGTTTCATCATGTTGGCCAGGCTGGTCTCAAACTCCTGACCTCAGGTGATCCACCTGCCTCTGCCTCCCAAAGTGCTGGGATTACAGGTGTGAGCCTGTGAGCTACCTCACCCAGCCCCCTTTTTTTTTAGAGACACTGTGCCAGGCTATTTTTTATTTTTTGTACAGACAGCATCTTACTATGTTGCCCAGACTGGTTTCAAACTTCAATGATCCTCCTGCCTTAGCCTCCCAAAGCACTTGGATTACAGATGTGGGCCACCATGCCCAGCTCTGCTGGGTTTCATTGGTGAGTTTGTTTTCCTGGCAAGAGATACACTAGATACCCTTGCACACCATCCACAATTGAAATACAATATTGTGATTGTTAATTTTATGTGTTAACTTGACTGGGCCATAGTGTGCCCGGATATTTGGTCCAACATTACCCCAGATGTTTCTGTGAGGGTGTTTTTGGATAAGACTTTTTTTTTTTTTTTTTTTTGAGACTGAGTTTCACTCTTGTCACCCAGGTTGGAGTGAGTGCAATGATGCAATCTCAGCTCACTGCAATCTCCACCTCCTGTGTTCAAGTGATTCTCCTACCTAAGCCTCCCAAGTAGCTGGGATTACAGGCATGTGCCTCTATGTCTGGCTAATATTTGTCTTTTTAGTAGAGATTGGGTCTCACCATATTGGCCAGGCTGGTCTCGAACTCCTGACCTTGGGTGATCTACCCACCTCCACCTCCCAAAGTGCTGGGATTACAGGCCTGAGCCATCATTCCAGCCTGGATAAGACTAGCATCTAATTTGGTATAGGAGTAAAGAAGATTACCTTCCCTAATGTGGGTGGGCCTCATCCAATCAGTTGAAGGTGTGAATAGAATGAAAAGGCCCTCTTCCCCAAGAAAGAGAGAATTCTCTTTCCTGCCCACCTTTGAACTGGGACATTGTCTTTTTTCCTGCCTTTGGACTCTAACTGAAACACTGGTTCTTCCTGGGTCTTGAGCTTGCTGGCTTTTGGACAACAACAACAACAACATTGGCTTTTCTGAATTTCAGAGCTTCAGACTTGGACTAGAACTAAGCCATTGGCTCTCCTGGGTCTCCAGCTAGCCAGTTCACCCTGCATATCTTGGGACTTGCTCACTTCCATAACTGTGTGAGCCAATTCCATATAATAAATCTTTAGGCTGGGCACAGTGGCTCACACCTGTAATCTCAGCACTTTGGAAAGCTGAGGCAGGAGGACTGCCTGAGCCCAGGAATTCAAAACCAGCCTGGACAACATAGTGATATTTGCCACTAAAAAAACAAAAACAAAAACAACAACAAAAAAACTTCATACACACACATATACACACTCCCTACTGACTACTTCTCTGGAGAACCTTGACTAGTACACAAGTCCAGAGCTAATTTTCAAGGGCTCCCTAATTTTCCTGAGCTCATACCCCAATCCCAGATCTGCTAGAAGAGTGTATCTGCCAAACGAGTGCTATAATGACCTGGAGCCCTGAAACAAAATGGCAAACATATAACACAAGACTGCACCAGAAAGTCAGACATGATTTGTCAGCCTTTATTAATCAAGAGTAAAGCCAAGCCCTAGAGTTTCCTTAACAAAAACAAAAAGAACATCAACCTTATTTATGGCAAACAGACTTAATACTTAATGACTGTTCATTATATTTTTAACACTACAGAGCAAGAATTGATCTCTTTTCAATCACTTATTATTCTGAGATTAAAATACAAGTTTAAAACAGGTTAAAATAAAATTCACCCCAATGATTTAAAAAATAATTCCAATTGAAAGACATTTCAAACCCTATATGTAGAACTTAGGACCAAAAGAAGACCTTAAAACATTTTTTACCGTTGAGGTAGCACAATAATGCTGAATCAGATTTCTTTTATTACAGTGAGCTTAAAAAAAAAAACACGGAATCTACCCTTTGCTCAAGGTGGGCTAAATGGTTTTATGAAAGCCCCCATGAGGTTAGTGACTGTTCTTGTCCTTTTTTTTTTTTTTTTTTTTAAGTGTAAAGATAGCCCTGCAGTGTGTAAAAGGAAACCTATGGGAAGGCTGCTTCCCATAAAATAGACAATAGAAGAATTGAGGAACGCCAGCAGTCAAGACAGGAGGAACAAGAGGTAATCACAGTGAAAAACCAAAACAACTCATATCTTGGCAAGATTGGTTTACAAGTGCATGACAAGAACAAAAATTCAAACATCAGCCAACTGAAAAGAAAAGATAGAAGATGACATTCATGAGTCTTCTTACTTTTTCTCTGTGTAAAATGCTCTTTTTTCTAAATGAGAGAAGGTTGTACACTGTGACACAGGTGCTAACAGCACCTCTCACTGAATACAATATCACTGTGCACAGAGAAAATGGGCAATTAGAGGATAAACATAACCTCTCCTAGCTGGATAACCATTTCTTGTCACTTTGCTGCTGAATTCACTCATTAAACTGTTCAAAGGGAAAGCTCTCCCCGGATTTCTGACAGTCTACCGCAATATATGTAACACAATTATATATGAAGACTATTGACTAAAAGGACAAAAGCACATGTACCTTTTCTTCAGAGAATTCAACCAAGAGAAGAGAGTGGGTGGGATATGCTGGGGGCCAAAAGGAAGGGTCTCAGGAATATTCTCTACCATCCAAAATCAACAGCAAAGCCAGAAATGGGGTATGAGCACTAACTCATTGAAGAGAACATAAAATAGTTAACAAAGGGATCTCTTCCCAACACATGCTCCTCTCCATGAGGCTCAACCATCAGTGCAGGGCTTGCCTGATGTGGACAATGTGGATACCTCAGCCCTGAGTTGAACTTGGTCTGCCACCTTTGATTCCCCATGCTGCAAAAAGAATTGGAACGCTGTCAGGTCCTGGCACTGTGGTAATGGCTATATCCTATTTCACTCACACACGTCCTTTTAAAGTCCCTCTTCCTCAAGCTAGTAAATAGAACTCCCTAGGAATCCTGCATGCAGAGAAGGTCTGAACTGATAATCCATATGTCAATCAGTAGTTAGAGGAGGATGACTTTCTTTTTTGGAGACAGGGTCCCACTTTGTCCCCCAGGCTGGAGTGCAGTGGCACGATCATGGCTCACTACAGCTTCAAGCTCCTGGGTTAAAGCAATCCTTCCACCTCAGCCTCCTGGGCATGCACTACCAGGTCCAGTTAATTGTTTTGTGTGTGTGTGAAGAGACAGGGTCTCCCTCTGTTGCCCAGGATGGTTTGAAATTTCCGGGCTCGAGCAGTCCTCCCACCTCAGCTTCCCAAAGTGCTGGGATTAAAGGCATGAGCCACCATGCCCAACATGAGCAGGACGACTTAAACCTGATCAGTTCGACTCCAAAACCATCAAGTCAGGGATGTCAAGGAGGGGTCTGTGAAGAGAAAGACTAGACGGGGATTGTGTGAGAATGGGATGAAAAGGCCCATCCCTAGCAGACTGCAGGAGTGACTCTGGCACAGAATTCACAGCCAGCCCTAACTAGTGTGATGGGTGGTAGGGAGGAGGCATCTGCTCAGTGTTCAAACAAAATCCTCACAAGTTCTAGGGCTGGACCTCTGCGTCACTCCTGAAACCCAATGTACCTGTTACCTTTGCAAGAAACTGGTATGGTTCTTGTCTGCTAAATACAAGACCTGCTTTCTGAATTTATTTGATAATAAAGTAACACCATGGAGAAAAAGAACCTGAGAAAAATGTGGGATCACCACATGGTCTTTCTCAGTGCTAGCTACCTGTCTGGGAGTATTAATTATAACCTTTCACTATTCTGAAAGCTTCAATGTAGGCTACAGAGGACAGTCTGAAAAGAGTCCTTCTGCTTTTGCTTTGTGAAGTGTAAGAAGAAAAGAGAAATTACTAAGGTTGTGGTGGGTTATTTACTTTGGAAATATCTTGGCCACACTGTCTGTGGCAAAAGCAGAAAGCCTAGCTTATGTGGACAGTGGAAGGTGACTGTGTGGACCATCATTATCTACAACAGGAATGACTCAAGCCCTAGCACGTAATCTCTTAGGGACTTACTGAGTTATACAAGTTAAAAAAAAAATCATATTGGAATGGGCATCTTGATTTAATATAAACTTGATTACAACATTCAAATTTATCTTTATGGAAATTTCACACTGCTCCTAGGACCCCTTACAGCATCTGATTCTAAGTTATTCTGAAGGAAAAAAAAATTATTCTGAAATATGCCTTGTTAGGATGATCACTGGAATTCTACCTGAGAGAATTAAAAGGCTAAATGGGTTTTAAATAAAAACAAGTGAAATTACCTTCTTCTGGGGTTAACAATTAGAATTCCAAATACCCCAACATCTTACCTAGAAAGGCCTTCACGGTAATTCTATGGAATTGTAAATGATGCCAATTTTTGAAAACAGATTTGATCTTTAGGACAAATGCCTGCATCAGCAGACAAACTCCATATATATGAATATGTCCAAGTTAAATTACCTAAAGAATAATTTTTTCTTTTCCTTTTCTTGAGACAGAGTCTCACTGTGTCACACAGACTGGAGTGCAGTGGCAGGATCACAGCTCACTGTAGCCTCGACCTCCTGGGCTCAAGTGACCCTCCCCACCTCAGCCTCCTAAATAGCTGGGACTACGTGCAGGCACCACCACACCTGACAAATTAAAAAAAAAATTTTTTTTTGTAGAGCGATGGTCTCATTCTGTTGCCCAGGCTGGTCTTAAATGATCCTCCCACCTCAGCCTCCTAAAGCACTAGGATTATAGGCATGAGCCTTTGAGCTTGGCCTGAGAAATAATTTGTTTTAATTTCAAAAAAATAGCTGCTGCTTCTTTAAGGAGTTTAAAAATTGGCAGGTTCAACGGCAAAGCTACACAATAATTCTCTGGAGTAGAAGGCAAGAGCTCTCTTTATAGTACAACCTCTTGCCAGCCTACTGCCATTAGCCAGGAGGGGCAGTTGCAAACAAATGGTAGGAGTTGCCCAGGAAGGTATTTGGGTCAGACAAAGTGATAGCAACCTTCCAGATCCTGGCTCCTTATAAATGGATAGTAATTCATTCATGCAAACTGCACAGAGGTTAAACAAAACCTACTAAAAAAAAAATCCCCAACCCGGAAAACCTTTCCTGGCTCTCTACTAACAGTAAAATGTGCTGAGCCCAAATTTTCTGCTCTAACATGGGTCCCACTGACATATCAGTCTGCTCTGGGGTGCTGATCTGCTGGGTCCTGAGCAGGGTCTTTCCCTAAGCATCACTGTGGGTTTGGAGACAGTGGTCAGCAGACAGTACAACGCCACTGGGCCACATATGCCCATCTCATCCGCCACCATTTCCCACTGTAAAACCAAAGGCTGCAACTGTGAACAAATGTGGACTTTCTCAAAGGACAAATGAGGAGACTGAAGGCTACATTTCCTCCTTTGAGAAAGATTAGAGAGTGTCTACACTTATACAACAGGATTCTGCAGACCCTGTGGTAACTTCCAAAAGCAAGAGTAGCAGCAAGAGAGGAAAGGAGCATGTTTATACTTTGGACCTCGTATCAGGCACTTAAATTGTTGGAGAGACATGCTGTTCTGAACCAAAGATGTGAAAACCGGGTTGGAGTAATCTTTACAAGTGGTCTAATAATGGGCTTTCAGAAGCAAAGTGGAGTTGTGGGTTGAACCTCTGCCCATCCTTTAATGCTGACTTTCAAGTTTTCTAAATGCCCATAACCACAGCAGTGGCAGCAGTGGTGGCAACGGCACGAACGGTTCTGTCATGTCTGTTTTCTGTATGTGTTCTGTGGCTGACCAGAAGGGTTTGGTGTCACACTAAGAAGGCTCTGGGGTGTGGCATACCTACTGCCCGCGGTTGCCCAAATCCATGCTGGAGCCAAACATCTTCACCAGCTTTTCCTCATAGTGTGAGATGTTCCTTTTCATGATGTCCATGCAGGGCCCCAGAAGCCTCTCAAATGCTTGTACATTCATAACTAAGCATTTGACATCTCCAACTGCGTAAGCTGAAGCAGCTCTGGGTTTGTTGGTGACCAGGGCAAGCTCTCCAAAGTACTGCCCCTTAAAGCAACGGGCAATCTGGACCTCCTGGTTTCCACCATCCTTGTTTGATTTAGTCTTGCTTCTAATCAAAATGCTCACTTCACCAGACTCTATGATGTAAAAGCTACCAGCCTTTTCACCCTGAGTGATTATGCGTTCTCCATCCTTATAGATCTTATCTCCTATTACATTCACAATCTTCATTCGTTCTGACAAATCCAGTGATTTAAGGAAGGGCACAGACTCAATAAATGATTCAAACGTCTTCCTCTTCTTTGCATTATTTTTCACTATGATTCTTCTAAAAGTCACCCGGTCCAGTCCCCAAAGGGAGCCTTCTGAGGTTGCAACAATGGTAGCAGCTCTGGAGGTGTTGTGCATCAGAGCTAGTTCTCCAAAACTGCCGTGGTTGTCATACTGACCGACAGAGCGGGTTTGATTATCTTCTGTTACTAAAATGTCCTAAGTTCCCCATTCTATGACATAAAAGTTGTCTCCATCATCTCCTTGGTCAATGACATGCTCACCAGCTTTGACTATCCTTTCAAACATGGCATCAAGAACTTGAGAAAGCTGTTCCTGATCAAGATTTTTGACAGGGAGAATATCTTTGCAAGTTTCCTGTAAGTCTGCGTCTCTGTTCATCGGTTTTAGGATGAAATCACCCTTGGATCGGTATCTTCCTCTTTCTCATCAGGGTTATAGGTCTCAGCACAGACTGTTACTCGTCTATTAAATGTGCTAGGAACGTCCAAGTCCTCGTCCTCCTCCGCCTCGCTGTCCCCGTTGGCGTCGGGGACGTGGTCCGGGCCGGGTTCTGGCGCGGTGTGGCCCGGGCTCTGGCGTGGGGTGGCGGCGGGCAGGGCTGAGGCACGGGCGCGGGCCTCGCGCAGGCGGGTGAAGTGGCCCACTGCGAATTCCACGAGGTCGGGCGGCTGCTGTCGCAGCACCTCCGCGGTGTAGCCCTGCAGTAGCTCCGTGAGCCCCGGCGGGATCTGGTTGTGGCTCAGGCCGGCGGCGGCCGAGGGGACGGACGGGTTGGGCCGCCTGCAGCCACTGTCCCCGCGCTCACTCCCGTCGGCCTTTTGCTCCCCGCCCGCGAGGTCTCTTCGCGCGCGGCCCGGGCTCGGCCTTCCACTCATCGCGCCGCTCTTCGGCCGGCTCTGCGTTTCCGAGCCGTGCAACCCTAGGCTACCACGGCCGGCCTGGCACCGCCGCCGCTGTCACTGGGCAGCCGCTGCCGCCGCGGGGACGGACGGGCAGGCGAGCTGGACGAGCTGGGCGGGCACCCTGGTTGTGATGCACCAGTACGTAAGAATTTTAAAACGCATATGTCCTTTGACCTAGCAACTCCATTTGCTCTGGGCAAGTCATTATTCTTCTCTGTCCTGTTTGTACCTCACAGAGTTGGGAGAGTTAAACGAGACACACGTGAAGCACTTAGTACACAGCTCCTGGCACATAAGACGGGCTCCCAAAATGTTGGCTAGTAGTAGAATAATAGCAGCTAACGGGCATTGAGATCTTACCACATGCCACATTAGCACACCGTGCTTGGTGCTTTTCATGTATTACTTAATCCTCCAGCCTGTGAAGGTGCTATTGATTACCACCAGTTAGCCTCTGAGGAGACAGGCACAGGCATGCAAAGTATACCGTGGACAGGATTTGAGCTAGGGCAGATGTGAATCCTGTGATACACTGCCTCTCTATTAGGTGCGGTGGAGTGATGAGCACCTTACGAGAGGGTATGGAGAGGGCTGTAGGAACACCCAAGCACAGAGCCCCGCTAACAACAAGTGGGGGCCATGTTGATTTTTTGGGGAAAAGATGGCTTTCAGTAGAGGCCGTGACACTTTCAGGGTGGGTAATCTTGGGGCAGGGTTGGTTTTGTTTTCTTTTGTTTTAATCTGCTTTCAGCCCATCTCCTGATCTATAATACTAGGGTAGGACAATTTCAAGGATGGTTGTGAGGATTAAGAGAGATGAACATGCAGCTCCTGGGCATTCAGTTCTTCACAATCTATACTTGCCGAAGTGACATGAACAAAAGCAGATGGAGGGCGGTCGAGTGGGGAAAAGCATTCTAGGGAAAGGGAACACCACATTCTAAGGCTACACATCCAGAAAGCTTGAGGAATCCAGGAAGGGTGCCTGCAGGATGGGGTGGCTGGTGGCCGGGGTGGCTGATGGCCTTGAGAACCAGCTAAGAAACTTGGATTATTTACTAACAAAAATAAAGGAGTCACCATTTGTTGAGGGTATACAAAAGAGAATCATCAGCAGCCATAGAAAGGCTGCATACAGGGAGGTGACTTGATCAATTTCACGTTTTACAAAGATCCCTCAAATCCTGTTGGAGTGATAGGAGGAACTCTACTGACCTGCCTTGAACTCCATACTTTAAAAAGCATATAACGTTTATCATTTTCTCTTTTACTCCACAATTTATACTCACTGTAGAAAATATTAAAAATATAAGAAAGTTTAAGGAAACAAAAAAAGTGTTACTTGTACTTTCCAGAGACATCCCAATGGATACTTTTCTTCCCATCTTTGTTTTTTCTATGCAAAAAATACGTAGTTATTAGAATGCCTGACAGAAGGAAGTTGGAAAGAGATCACTGTGAAGCGTTCTTGATATTCCCTCTTCTCCTCCTCTCCGTGTTATTAGGGTCATACTAAGAGGGGAGGCTGATTTCCCTCCACGTGTCGGGTAAATTTCCAACTCTAAGCAGGGACCCTCGCATGCCATTTTCGCCGGTCTCTAGGGGGCGCTGCCCCGAGACTAGGCGGGGAGGGAAAGAAGGTGGTGCGAAAACGCGTTTGAACTTGGGCCCTGCCGCTGCCCGTAGCCGGCGTCCGTCCTCAACATGGCGGCTCCCCAAGATGTCCACGTCCGGATCTGTAACCAAGAGATTGTCAAATTTGACCTGGAGGTGAAGGCCCTTATTCAGGTATTGATCCCGGGACTCCTGCTGGTCTCCAGCAGCCCTAACCCAAGCTCTGCTGGTCTGTGAGCGCGGCAGTGTCACTCCAGAACTTTACCCAATTGGTTTCTCGAGCCACTGGCTCCGCCCCATGGCCGGCTACCTCTTAGTCCCCATTTGGTCGTGTCCCCGTGACTGCTGGCCTTGATCCTCCTTCCCAGTGCTGCTGGATCGCCCATTTCCAGAGCGCCCCACCGTTCTCCGCCTCTGATCCGTGCTTCGCGGCTCGGCTTTGCCCCTTCCACCTGCTGCCCTAGTCGTCGCCTCGCCCGTGACCACCTCACAACATACCTGCCACCCTGCTTGGCCCCGCCTTCTGACGTTTGCTTCCCCATCACCTAGTAGCGTCCGGGAGGCCGCTAGCCCCGCCCCCTGCCACCTGGCACGGGAGGCAGCAAAGTAACCTGGGCCGTAGTTGTGATTTTATGCTTGAGGAAATCGAATATAGCGCCAAGGCCCAGGTTAGAAGGCAGATCTGGGTCAATGGCAAAACTGGGACCTGGACTGGGAAAGTCAGCCTAGGAAAAACACCTTAGAGTGTTAGTCTGTTTGTATGGATGGGAAATGATATGCTTTGCCTTAAGGCATTTAAGGGTAGAGGTAAGATAAACGAGTTGATGTAGGCAAGAATTAGGAATGTAGACACGGTCCCATGAGTTTAGCAAATAATTTTCAACAAAGTCACTAAACATTAGATGTAGACTCAGAATGAGTTTGTAACAAGGTGTGGCAAAAGTGCAGGAAAGTAGGGCTCCCCAGATAAACCAGATGCAGAATAAACCAAATTCGTAGTTTATCATACGGTGCAAAGAAGTGTGTTTAAATGAGTAAGCCAGAGAAAAATTGAAATTTGATGGAGATATTTAAAACTTATTGAACTTCACTTCTCTGACATATACATTACAGAACTTCTGGGTCAGTTATAGAAAAACAAGTTTCATACAAATGAAATTGCATTTTCTCTTAATCTAAATTGCTTAAGCACCCTTCTGTACCCTTTCTAACATTTGGGTTCTTGTGATTCCTGATGAGAAAGATTGATTATAGCTGGATGTATTGCACTCTTATTGTGTTCCATTGCTCTGCTAAGTGCTTTACATGCATGTATGACCTATGATCTGTGAGGTAAGTAGTGTTGTGATGAGGCGGAGAATTTAAACTGAGACAGAGAGAATTTAAATAACTTTTCCAAGTAACTTTACACAACGAATAAGTTGCTACAGCCAGGATTAGAATCCACATCGTCTGTCTCCAGAGCCTGCTCTGAAACATGGCACCAGCTGTTGCTGAATCTGTTGCTGAATGTCCAGGAACAAATTTTAAATCTGCCCTTAAACATGTCTGTATAAACTCTGACTTATCACTGATGGTTTGTCAAATCACACTGAAGAAGTTAATCTCATCATATGATGCCAGATATTTAAGCATCCTGATTTTCAAGTTGGAAGGATCTCAGATTCTGAAGTTATAGTATTGCTTTTGCATGTCCAATCGTGTTGGGCATACAAGCTGTTTTAAGCTTTTTCATACTGGCCACATAAGATTCTGTCAAAATTTAGGAACTAAAAATTAGGTCAAAGCAATTGTGTTTCTTTCTAGGCTTTTATAGTAATTCAACATTAATCTAAAAAGGAATGAGAAAAATGTAAATGATAATGTTTTTGCTCATGTTGCAGAGGTAAACAGCAAAGATCAGGATGAATTACAGTCAGTACGTTAATATTAGTTGGTCTGAACCAACTCTGACTTTATGGATGGTGTTATTTCATTTCACTGCCTTGAGAAAGGCCTCTTATCTGTTCAATGTCTCCTAGGATATCCGTGATTGTTCAGGACCCTTAAGTACTCTTACTGAACTGAACACTAAAGTAAAAGAGAAATTTCAACAGTTGCATCACAGAATACAGGTAGGTATTCTAAGAACTGAGATGCTGAGTATCTCAGTTTAGCCAATGAAGGGGCTCAGTCCTGGGTATATCCTCTGCTTGAGAGCCGTCCAGTTTCTTCAAACACCAGCTGATGGGAGTAGTAAACACTTAGACAGTGAGGGTGACTCTGTACTAACCTGCTTTCCAGGTGAAAATGAGAAACTTTTGCATGCAGAACACTGCCAGCTGTGTCAACGAGTGGCAGTTTTTTTTTATTTTTTTATTTTTATTTATTTTTTTTTTTAGGCAAAGTCTCGCTCTGTTGCCCAGGCTGGAGTGCAGTGGCATGATCTCGGCTCACCACAACCTCCGCCTCCCACGTTCAAGTGATTCTTCTGCCTCAGCCTCCCAAGTAGCTGGCACCACAGGTGTGCGCCACCATGCCTGGCTAATTTTTGTATTTTTAGTAGAGATGGGTTTTCAGGTTTTCACTATACTATGTTGGCCAGGCTGGTCTCGAACTCCTGATCTTGTGATCCACCCACCTCAGCCTGGGTTTACAGGCGTGAGCCACTGCACCCGGCTAATTTTTTTTTTTTTTTAAATAGAGATGGAGTCTCACTATGTTGCTTGGGCTGGTCTTAAACTCCTGGGATCAAGCAATCCTCCTGCTTTGGCCTCTGAAAGGGCTGGAATTACAGGCATGAGCCCAGCCTATTCTGTTTCTTTCAGACAGAATTTGGAGCCAGGTTCTAATTGTTTCTAAGTTCAAGATCTAGATCAGAATCAGAAGGTGAAGACCACTGTTTCATGGGTCTGGGGGCTGCTGAGAAAAAGGCAGGAAACAGGTTATGGACCTGACCATGGAGGGCTCATGTTTTAAAGCCCCCATCTGGGCACCCAAGGATCCTGCATGTAACTCACGGGTAGAGAGGCCCACAGCGGTCCCTCAAAGTGAATAGGAATGGCCCAGGCCCAGGGCCAGAACTCAGGAGTTGGAAGGATGACTGTCTACACACCGAAAACGATGTGTTCATCTGTATCCTGGAATCCTGTGTAGGCCTTCTCCATGAGGACAGGGCCAGGGCTGGCTCCTTGGATTCTAGTTAGCCTCATGAGTAGGCCTGTAAACTTGTCATTATCTGGAAACATTCCTGCCAGCTCCTCTTCATGCCCTTCTACTTGAGACACTAGGCAGTTACTTTAGATTGTTCATGATTCTTCTTCCTCAGTTCTTCAGATTTGAGATGATTCTTTTAAGAAACTCTGGATCTCTTGGTTACTCTAAGAGTTGATTACTGTTCTGATGGTTTTTCTGGTTTCTTGGTTTCTTCTTCCTTCTTTATTTCCTGAGGGTTTCTAGTAATTTCGGTCTGATGTCTCACTTTCTCCATTATTTGCAATTTATTTTTTGTGTTTTTGAGCTGGAGTCTCATTCTGTAGCCCAGGCTGGAGTGCAGTGGCATGATCTTGGCTCACTGCAACCTCTGCCTCCCAGGTCCGGTTCAAGCAGTTTTTCTACCTTGGCCTCCCAAGTAGCTGGGATTACAGGCAGGAGCCACCATGCCCAGCTAATTTGTATATTTTTTAATGGAAACAGGGTTTCACCATGTTGGCCAGTCTGGTCTTGAACTCTTCACCTTGTGATCTGCCCACCTCGGCCTCCCAAAGTGCTGGGATTACAGGCATGAGCCACCATGCCTGGTCCACTTTCTCCATTTTTATGCCTGAGTTTTCTCCTGGGATTCTTCTCACTGCAGTTACAGGACCTAATGTTGGGTTGGCAGAGAACTAGCACTTACTCTGCCCTAATTGGACCCAGGAGAGTCAGGAGGTACTGGAGCGTGGAAACGTGCTTGCTCCTCTAGACTTCTGAAGGTCTCTTAGAAGTAGTAATTTGAATAGTGGAGATGTTTCCACTGCTGTGCCTTCAGTGAGGGCAAGGTGGGTGTCATGGATCTGCCTATCTGTATTAGTTTTCATGCTGCTGATAAAGACATACCTGAGACTGAGAAGAAAAAAGTGTAATGGACTTCTGACATGGCTGGGGAGGCCTCACGATCATGGCAGAAGGCCAAGGGGAGCAAGTCATGTCTTACATGGATGGCAGGAGGCAAAGAGAGAGCTTGTGCAGGGAAACTTCTGTTTTTAAAACCATCAGATCTCGTGAGACTCGTTCACTATCATGAGAATAGTGCAGGAAAGACCCACCTCTGTAATTCAATCACCTCCCACCGGGTTCCTCCCGTGGCATGTGGGAATTGTGAGGGTTACAATTCAAGATGAGATTTCAGTGGGGACACAGCCAAACCATGTCACCATCCCTGGATGGGTCTTGTGGCACCTGGTCTTGTGGTATTGGGGTTTTGTATTAGGCCTTTCTTGCATTGCTATAAAGAAATACCTGGGGCTGGGTAATTTATTTTTTTTAAAACATGGGTTTAATTGGCTCATGGTTCTGTGGGCTGTGTGGGAAGCATCTCAGCTTCTGCTTCTGGGGAGGCTTCAGGAAGCTTCCAGTCATGGCAGAAGGCGAAGAGGGAGCAGGCACTTCACATGACGAAAGCATGAGCAAGAGAGAGAGGGATTGAGTGAGAGGTCACTTATCACCAAGGGTATGGCTTATGCCATTCATGAGGGATCCACTCCCAGGATCCAAACACCTCCCACCAGGCCCCACCTCCAACACTGGGGATTACAATATAACATGAGATTTGAGCAGGGACTAATATTCAAACTGTATGACTTATGCTTTTTTGGCCAGCACAGTGGCTCATGCCTGTAATCCCAGTACTTGGGGAGGCTGAGGTGAGTGGATCACCTGAGGTCAGGAATTTGAGACCAGCCTAGTCAACATGGTGAAACTTCATCTCTACTAAAAATACAAAAATTAATTGCGTGTGGTGGTACGAACCTGTAATCCCAGCTATCTGAGGCATGAGAATTGCTTGAACCTGGGAGGTGGAGGTTGCAGTGAGCTGAGATTGCACGACAGCACTCTAGCCTGGGTGACAGAGCAAGATCCTGTCTCAAAAAAAAAGATGTGTGCTTTTCATATAACATGGCCCCCAAAGCCCACCAGCAACTC